TCTCTCTCTCTCTCTCTCTCTCTCTCTCTCTCTCTCTCTCTCTCTCTCTCTCTCTCTCTCTCTCTGTAAAGAAATACTGAGCCAAAATTTGTCCAAGAATCTATCTAAGGTCTTACTTACGGGACGCTTTACATACTCTGTAACAGAAAGTACAATAGTATTATCTTTAAAGAATCAGACTTCTCTCTTTCAAAGTCCCTCGATTCACAACGATAATTTAATTCTACAAATTTTACATAAAACGTCTCGCGCAATTCGCAGCCACAATTTTAACGTGTGGATTCTTTAAATAATCGCAAAATTGCCTCTTTGTTAGCAAAAATAGCTGGAGCAACCATCATAACAATTTTGAAATTTTCAATATTTTATATTCTCGCACGTGATAAATTACAAATTGGAGCTCTATAAAAGCAAAATTCATATGAAATTAATCGAAAAGCATACATAATTTCGCTAATCATTTTGAAACTCAGTTCGCGAAGAGTTCTTTTACAAAATTATTCATAACGCGAAAAGCATGGATATATCTCGACATTTTCGTTCAGGAAAAATCTACCCCCGGATTAATTGCGAATCCGCTATCTAAATTAAGATTGCGAGCTCGCGAGACATCCAATATATCCGACACGAGTTCCTTCGAGTATCGACATCGTGTTGTCCGGGGCGCGCGCTACTGTCATGATAACATCTGGTGTAGTTCCCTTGTGTCAGTGTGTAATGAGGAAAAACACCGATTGAAACGGCGCCTATCGATATTGCCCGATGTGGCACGGAATTACGCGCGTTATTGTTAATTACGGCGACGCGATGCGGACAAGCCTAAGTGGAAGTCCGTGTTCCTCGTAGGCTTGTAGGCGCGCGCGCGCGAGCGCAGCGATTTCGATATCGATCGAAAATACGATAGCAATTCCGCACGCGTGACATATACCCGATATGAGATTACGCTATATGCCTTACAATTAGTCAGAAGAGGGACGACAGCGACCCGATTAAGCGTTTCACGATGGTATCGAGTGGAGCAACTCAACCGCGTTGCGACACGAGAGAGCAACCTGTGATCTACCGTGCGATCATTTTGTTATAACGAAAGGGTCATTATATAAAAGACACTCGTGCGCGAGCCGGTTGTTGTGTTGCACGATATATTGCATATACGCGATATTTTACTGACGCCTTCCTGTTCCGATTTGAGCATTTCTGACTGTGTCGTACGTTCAAAAACATATTCGTCGCGCCATCGTGACTTAAGATGGAAATCTCGCGATTTGGCAGACGCACTTGCAGTTTGTTCGCAATTGTGATTTGCTTTTCTTCTTCGAAATTATCCTCAATAACGTATTTTATTGGTAATTGCTTTAACCCTTTCGGGACTATTTTATGTATGATGGTTGGGACAGTGGTCCCCAAAGGGTTAAAGCAAATTCATCGCAAATTTTAGAACTTATTATCATGTACTCAGAAAGAAAAGAATTTATTCTCTTTACAAGTATATTATAAAGCTTGAAGGAAAAACGGTTCGATTTTATGTGATAAGTAGAGTTTTGTTTTAATTTAATATTCTTGAAGATACTAAAACTTACTGGAATTCAGAATGCAGTTTGCTACAAATTTGATGCTCATGTGACGGGCTCGTCATAGATTCGCGGATATGTATACTTATGAAATATTTGAAACACGTAATATTTGCATATGATATAGACTTTTGTTCTGCGTATATAGAAAGTCGCACGTATGATCATGCGACAAATAATATGGGTTATATGAAATTAAATGAAGCGATAAAGAGGTAATTTTCGAACTTCAACACGATGTACTGTGCAAAAATCGGCACTGGAAGTTATCGGTGATTCCGAATGTACAGGAAGCTGCATGATAATAGCGTTTGATAAAGGATCTCGTCGTATAAATATCTTCTTTTAGACATTCTTCGTCGTTTAGATAAAGGATACATTGGTAAATCACTCGAAGAGAATATTGTTATTTCTCATGAAGTGTTAGGCTTCGTCTACATTATGCGGAGTAAGCTTAGAGTAAGAAATAAAAATAATTGATTTCGTTTTTGTTTATACTCCAGTTCCCTTACGCCGAAAGTTTTTCTGTTAAATAAATATTACCGATTGTAAGAGAGCTAAAGTTTAGATATATACACGGAGAAAAATAATTTGCTGGCAAATTATTTTTGCCCAGCAAAATCTGCTGGTCTAGCAAAATCTTTTCGTTATTATATGGAAAGCAAAAAGATTTACTAATCACTATTTGCTGGATATAATTTGCTGAATCTACAAATTATTTTGCTATAAGAACCATGATGGATTTATATAAGCAGTTGCAGTTTTGCTCCGATAGCAAATAAATTTGCTAAGGATATATTATTTTGCATCAATAGCAAATTAACGTGATTCTTAGGACAAATACACTCAACACATTTTTTCTATCCTGGCAACGAAAGTACTTTTGCTCTGATAACGAATAATTTGTAAAATTAGTTACGTTAACTAAATTTTTTTTATGTCACTACGAATATGCAGTAGTAAAGATTTCGCTAAAAGAGCAAAATTATTTTTCTCCGTGTATATGAGTGAAATAAATTAGTTTTATTTCTTATTTTTTTAACATTTTTTAGTTTTACTTATCAGTTTTGGTTTTTTGTTTTATTTCCTACTCTTTTCATATACTAAACTTTTCATACACTAAACTTCACGTATTGTAGACGAAGCTTTAGGCTAACCTATATGACGACGAAAGTAAGCAGCACGCGTCGCTTCCTTAACGACATTCGAAAAAGCTATCTTTACCGACCGCGATACGCTAGAAATTAAAGACGGGTGGGAATACTCGCAGGATAACGCGAAACGATGATAAAAACGGAAACGAGGGAATCAAACGCTATTATTGCCTTCCGCAAAAAATAGACACAAATCTAGGTGAATCAGAACGAATCGATTTCCACGAAATCGAACAAATTCCCGTGAAACTTTTCCGATTTGTTCGAATTCTTCGCCGCAACTCGTACAAACAACTCGTTCGTTGTCTACGTGTGAAAAGAAATAATTCGCGACCGCCGTCGACTTAAAAAACGCCGCTTTGTACGAAGTTATGGTAAAAGTGAGGGGG